CTCCTCCTCCTCCTCCTCCCTCTCCCACTCCTCCTCGTCCTGCTGCTCGTCCTCCACCTCCGGCCGCGGGATAAACAATCAGTTGCCCCCTGCTGGTGGGACCGCAGTCCTCCCAAAAGGCCGCCGAAGGATCACCAGTCCCCCCTTTGATGGGCGGGGGGTCCGGATGGCTTCTCAGGGCGTTACATCTGCGCCGATGCGGGCCGGGTCGAGCCCGGGCCCAGGCGCCAGCCCACGCCCTGCTGGCTGCGCCGGGAGGGCGTGTGCTGGCCCGGCGACGCGCGAAAACGAGGCCATTCTCTTTGTCAGGCCGATTCGTTTTCGTCTTCGTTCAAGCAGTGGCGAAGCGTCCTGGCTCGCCTGTAGCCCTACCAACCAGTGTTCCGGGAACCTCATTTGTGGTTTCCACGAGATGTTCATAGAGCATTTCTGGCGGAGTCTGTCGGAGTCTGGTTTGTTTGAACACATCGGGTTTGTGTTCTAAGAACATTGTTTTTGTGTTTCGAGCATTTTTGGGTTCTAAGAACATGTCGTGGTAGGACTAATTATAGGGATGCCGGGACGGTCGGTCCCTGCTCCATTCGTCTTCGTCTTCTTACCTATTCACTGCTTCGTGGAGGGTCTCGTTGTCGTCTTCGGGTTCTTGACCATCCTTTCTCTTCGCCGCGGCCTCGTTCAGTCTTCTCCGCCGCCGCCCGCTGAGCCCGGCCAGGCTCTGTGTGGGTGTGTGCGGCGGGCGCCCTCCCGGCGTCGGATCTTGGAGATCGCTCACGACTCAACGATCGGCGCGGCGTCGGAAACCAGCGCCCGCGGGCGGTCGCCGCGGGAGCCGGCCTTAAGGGCGGGCTTCGGCGGCAACGGCCTGCTGCCCCGAGCGGGGGGGGGGCTTCGTCCTCCCAGCGCTCCGCCAGGTGATGGTCGCGACCAGCGTCGTCATCTTCTTCATGATGATCCCGTTCATCGTCTTCACGTGACCTGTCGTGCGGCTCGTGCGCGCCGAGACCCTAGGCCTCGGGCCGACCGATCCGGTCACTCCCCGGTGTCCCTTCCTTTTTGCTCCAGGGGTTCGTCTCTGGGCCCCAGGACCAGCTCGAAGAAGAACGAACGGCATGAGCATCCGCTTTCGGAGGTCCGTGCGGAGTTCCTGGATCTGCGTTGGGCCCTTCTTCTGGCGCCTCCAGCGCCGCCCCTGGCGCGCTCGCGATCCAGCAAAGGGGGTCCAGCGTCGATCACGAAGTTCGCGGGGAGCTCTCAAAGTTTGTTGTTTGTGCTTAAGTCGGGCATGTCCCTCTACAGGAGGAATATCCCAAAAGAGTAAGAAATCAGGGGACGATGTTTCGTGCTCTTTTGGCTATGTCTGAGACTGTCTTGACCACGGTTTATCTGTATTCCGAAATTTGCCTGCAGGAGGACATGCCCGACCTAGGTTTATGCCTCTTCCTTCCTCTGCCATCAGAAGGCGACTCGCCAAGAACAGGTGCCCCCGCGTGGCCCCACGTATCGAGCAAGGGATCGACCACATAATTGATTTCCCCAAGAAAATTATTTACCCCATCGGGTCTACGACGAGTGCGTCGGATGCTCGTAAATCCGCTGGGAATTCGATGCGCGTTCTGTAGATTCGACGACAAGTTTATCTTCGGGGTAAATCAATTATGTAGTCGATCCCCTACTCGAACGCATCGAAAGAAAAGTTCGCCAGACGTCTGGGTCTCGGCTTGAGAGGCCTGGGCGAGCCCACGCTGACCAACCACCGAGATTCGGGAGCGGCAAAGAGGGGGGGTGAGGGCCAGGGGTGTGTGGATACCCATCTAGTAGGAGATCGACTACAGAATTCATTTATCCCATAAGTGATTTTCTCGTCGACTTTAGTGAAGAGAACGAGTACAAGGTTCGTATAACCACGAACCGTATATGTATTTTGTTGGAAACTCGGCGAGCACATCATTTTAGGGGCGACTCCATTTTGCAGTCGATCCCCTACTCGAACCGTGGCCAGGGCCACAGAACCTGTCAGATTCCACGGCCTTCCGTCTTCGCTCAACACGTCGCCCGGCGCCCCCCGCGTCCGCGCACACGCACCCCGGCCACGATGTGCCAGTCGGAGGAGCACAGCCTCATGCCTGGGGGCACGCCCCAGGACCTCCACGGCTTCCAGGGCCCCCAAGATCTCGTGATGTCCCGCACGGAGAAGCCTGGCCATGTGCTGCGGAACTCCTGGAGCGTGCCCAGAGCCAGTCGCGCCATGACACGATTCGCCATCACGGCGGAGCGCCGAGGGGGGAACGTGAGAGGGGGGGCGGAACTTCTCAGAAGGCGGCGGGGCTTCTCAGAGGCCCTCCTGCCTTCTTAGAAGCCCTCGGATGCTGTTGAGCATGCGGAGGAAGGCCATCAGCAGGCCGGAGGCCCTCCGAGACTCCTCGGGAGTCCTGCTCGCTATGCCTTCCCCCAGGCGCGCCTGCCCCGACATCCACCGATCTGGCACCTTTCACTCCGCAGCCCCAGCGGTCTTCCCCCCCGCATCCGTTCTACAGAGGGCCCCGGCCGGGGCCCTGCAGCGGGGCCCCAGAGGCCGCAAGCGAGGAAGCACGCGCAGCCTGCGCCAGGCAGGTCGCCGGAGCGCTCCAGAGCGTCCTCGGGGCGTCCTCCAGGACGCTCCGAGCAGGCCGCGCCGCCCGGGACGTCCTCCGGCGCCGCGGGACCTCCGAGATTCCCGATCTTCGTCCTCGCCCGGCGGCCTCCGCGCCCGCGGGCTCCGTCTCGCCTGCACGAGCCTCCGGCGGACTCCTGCCGCGAGCGCGAGCCGCCCGAGGGTGCCCCCCCCCCCGTCTCCGGCGCGCCCGAGGGGTGCCCGGCGCCTCCTCCTCCTCCTCCTCCTCCTCCTCCTCCTCCTCCTCCTCCTCCTCCTCCTCCTCCAGCCGCGCCGCCAGCCGGCAGACGGGGCGCGGCGCCGCGCGCTGCCTGCCGCGGGAGGCCCGCCGGTGCGGAGCGCACCGCCGGGGGCCTCCCGGTGCGCGCCGTGGCCTCGCCGCGCCGTGCCTCCGCGGCGGCGCGCGCGGGCCTGCGGCGCGGGCGGGGGAGGTCGGTGCAGGGGGGGGGGGTCGAGGGAGGGACTTGGATTCGTTCGGACGTGTGCATTTTTCCTTCGGCGAGGACCATCGAGGAGCATCCTTGATCATGTGGCGAAGAAATTCACGCACGAACCCAAGAAAGGCATAGGGAATGGACGTCCGAGCGATGGCCAGGGGAGGTCCGGAGGCGGGGGGTCGGGCCAGGTTGGGGGGGTGGGGGAGGGGGGGAGAGTGGTGCGGGTAATACTTCTGTCCATGTCCACTGTGATAATAATGGAGTTTCGGGTTCCCTTCCCCAGAAACCAGAGGCGCGCTGGATATGGATAAATTTGCCCCCTAGAGGCTCGATTTGTATCCATATCCAGTGCGCCTCGGCCTTGTGACGCTCCTTCCCAAAAAATCCAAGACGCACTGGATATGGATACGAACCTTGCCCGCAAGTGGGGGTGGGGGAGAGCTGGAGGAGGAGGAGGAGGAGGAGGAGAAGGAGGAGGAGGAGGAGGAGGAGGCAGGGAGTGTTTGCAGGGTGATGATGGTGGTGGTGTTGATGATGGTGGTGGTGATGGTGATGATGGTGATGATGCCGATGCTAATGCTGCGGCTGCTGATGCTGCTGCTTATGATGATGATGATGATGATGATGATGATGATGATGATGATGATGATGATGATGATGATGATGATGATGATGATGATGATGATGATGATGCTGCTTCTGATGATGATGATGATGGTTATGATGTTGATGCTGATGATCATGGTGTGAATCATGATGCCGGTAATGCTGGTGATGGTGGTGGTGATGATGCTGATGCTGCTGCTGATGATGATACTGATGATGCTGAGGATACTGATGGTGATGGTGGTGGTGGTGATGGTGATGGTGATGGTGTTTGTCGTGATGATAATGAGTATGGCAAGGAGCATGATGTTGATTATGATGACGAGGAGTAGGTGTTGGAGGAGGAGGAGGAGAAAAGGGGGAGGAGAGGCGGAGCATGAGGGGGAGCAGGTGTTTGATTATGATTGCAATTCTGAGAATTATGGTGACGATGCTCAGGGTCATGATGATGAGTACACTGAGAATAGGTATGATGCGTATGATGTTGATGACGATGGTGATGACGACGATGATGATGACGTTGATGATGATGCTGATGATGATGTTTATGATGCTGAGTGTGCTAATGAGAATGACGACGACAGAGGCGATGATCCTGATGATGATGGCGATGATGCCGTGGATGAGGATGAGGATGAGGATGACGATGCTCATGATGGTGATGATGGTGGTGATACCGACGAGGCTGGCCTGGTCCGATTCGATTCCAATGCTCTGGCGATGCGATGTGCCGCGGTGCTCGCTCAGGTGCCGTTGTGCATCCTGGCGCAAATCTGATTCGGTGCCGGCGCCGTGCCGATGCGGCCCGATCCAACGCACAGTTTGGTCCGCTCCGACTTCCCGGGCAGATGATGGCGGATCTTGCCGCGTACCAAGGGTCAGGAGCTGGCGCTGTTCTACTCCTGGTGCGCCGATGGGGTGCATCGTGACGACACAGGGTGAAAAAGGCGAGCCAGGAAATCCAGCTGGCGACCAGGAACTCCGGCCTTGAATGGGGAATCGTTTTTCGGCAGAACGGGGAAATTATCTTGGTCGAGCGGGGAAACCGTGCGGGGCGTGACCAGGACATTTTCTCGGGTGGGCGAGGAAGTTTTCCCGTGGTTGCGGTTGAAAGGGGGTGCCTTTTCTCGGATGTCCTGACCTAGCGAGTGGGGGCGGGGCTTCATCTCATGCTTCGGACTTACGATAATTACAAATTTCTAGGTTTCTCTGGTGGTGGAGGTCCCGGCGCGTGTTTCTTTATTGTTTGGGGCATGACGGGCGTCATGGCCCCCGCCCCCCCCCTCCTATGACGTAACGCTCCCTCCGCCCAGTGCGTTCCCGGCACTGCCTCCGTGCGCATCGGATTCCGCGTAGGTGTCCGCACAGGAATCCGCGTAGGAGTCTGGTCCGAAGTCGTCGCCGGTCGTCGTCGTCGTCGTCGTCGTCGTCGGTAGTCGTCGTCGTCGTCGTCGTCGTCGTCGTCGTCGTCGTCGTCGTCGTCGTCGTCGTCGTCGTCGCTCGTCGCTCGTCGCTCGTCGCTCGTCGCTCGTCGCTCATCGTCGTGGTGCGGGCGGACGCCGATGACAGCAATTCTCCGGGGGGGGGGGGTGGAGGGGGCCGATGACGTCACGTTTCGCTCTGGCTGCGTTTGGGAATGCTTAGGAGTGACTTAGGACGGGTCGCAGCAGCATGTAGGTGGCGATCTGCGCCACAGCGCCTGTGTACATCACGGTGCCCGCTCATTGGGTTATGGCGCGCGCGCAATCGATTCGCCGAACGGGGCGGATGATCTAAAGAACGGGGCCCCGAATAGGGGCCGCTGTTGCATATATAAGTTTAGAGAGAATCCTTCTGACAAAATGGAGCGCCTGTGGACTCCACAAGAAACAAGTGTTTCATGAAGGATTTGGAAAGGAATCCATCTGGAAAAAGGAGCGCCGCTTGAATCTACGAGGCCTCCCGAGTCCGCACGCATCATCCTAACTCCTTCCATCGGCGTCCAGGAGGCTCCAGCTCAATTGGCCGTCCGAGAACAAATTAGTCTGCTTCAACCGACTACTATGCGGTGCGCGCTGAGATGCGCATGTGCGCTGTAGCGCCGACCCGCACGACAGGGGGGAAAGGTGAGGCAGGAGGAGGAGGAGGAGGAGGAGGAAAAGGAGGAGGGGGAGGAGGAGGAGGAGGAGGAGGAGGAGGAGGTGGAGGTGGAGGTGGAGGTGGAGGAGGGGGAGGAGGGAAGACCGTCGCATTGAATTATCGGCAATCTCTTTGCTTGGCTTTGAGTTGTCCGCAAAAGATCCCCACCTACATGCTCTTTCATCTTGTCTTGAGCACGCAGGCATTGTGGTGTACACCAGCGTTGCATTGCACGCGGATGCTGTGGTGTAGACAAGCGTTGTGGCGTGCGCAGGCGTTGCGGTGTACGCAAGCATTTTGGTGTACACAGGCGCTGTGTTGCACATGGTTGCTGCGGTTTGCACATTCGCTATGGTGTACACAGGCGCTGTGTTGTACACGGCTGTTACGGTGTACCCAACTCTTGGTGTGCACGGGCGCCGTGGTGCACGCGAGCACTGTGGTGTACACAGGCCGTGTGGGGCAGATCGCCACCTACATGCTGCTCGCTTCGTTGTCGTCGTCGTCGTCGTCGCTCGTCGCTCGTCGCTCGTCGCTCATCGTCGTCGTGCGCGCGGGCGCGGCTGTGGTTTCGGAACCACACGGCGGGGGTGGGTTTTACGTCATGCGCCCCTCGCCCGCCCCCATGACGCCCGTCATCGCCGAAAATATCAAAACGCGTTTCCGGATGCCTGCGAATCCCGCTGCCGATATCAACGGTTCCCGCCCTAGAAATGACAACTCGGGGTGGCCGAGGATCTCTCACCGAGGAAAGGTTTTCGAAATCAGGGCAGTCGTTTTGCACTGAGGTTCTCAACAGAGCTAGCTCACGGGGCAAGCTCGGGGTGGACCATGTCCTCGACTTGTCCATCACTCCACTGTGCATCGAGACACGGGGGCTTTAAGGGGGTGTGGCGTCGGAGAAACGATGTTCTTCACACGGCCAGTTATCCCTGATGGCCGCTGGGTTTCTGGCGGCAGCGACGGGATCGGGCCTTCATCCAGGCTGTCCAGCCTCGCAATGCGCTGGGAGGTTTCCTCCAGGAGCGTCCAAAGACGTCGTCGTTCGCCCGAGAAGAATTTCTTCGCTCGCAAGAGAAAAAAAAAAAAAGAGTTCGCACTCGCTGGGGGGCATGATGTTCTCCATTCGCCCGCCGAACTGTTCTTTTCTTGTTCGGTCGACGAGGAGTATCCTTTCGACTGTCGACAACTAATCCTCACGACCCCGCCCCCCTGAGCGTCGTAATGGCCGCGAGGAAGAAATGTAATAATGATAATGCTCATAAGTACACTCAGGAGACGGACAATAGCCACGCTGATCGTACTCTGCAGAGTACTCGGAAAACGAGCATGAGTATTACGACACATCATAAAACTAAGAAGTGGCACTGCGACTGCTAGTATGCAGACAATGCGGGCATGACCAAGAACAATCAGAGATATTGTAATACTAACGGTAATGACAAGCGCGATACTCATGAGGAAGATGAGGCAGAGGATGAGGCGGATAATAATACAGCGGAGGGGGGGATGGGGAAGGGGATGGGGAGGAGGGGAGCACGCGTAGCAGCAGCTGCAGCAGCGGGCGGAAAGAATGGGGGCGAGGAGCAGGCGACGATCACGAAGACGATGAGCGGAGGCGAGCGACGGACGACGACGACCAAGCAGGAGACGAGACACGAGACACGACCATCGGGCAATCGGGGCCGCGCGACGAGCGACGAGAAGCGACGAGGAGCGACGAGGAGCGACGAGCCATGGCGGCGGCGGCGGTGGCGACGACGGCGGCGACGACCGACGAGCGACGAGCGACGACGGGCGACGGTCGGCGGCTCACAACGACGGGCGGCGGCGGGTCGCGGCTCGAGCGCCATGGCGCGCCCCGCCAGAGCGCGCGGCTGTGCGCCCGGGGTGGGCGCACGCGCTCGCGCGATGCCCGCCCCTTCGGACAGCTCTGTCAGGAGCGCCCCAGGGAGGAGGACGGGCCTCCGCCTCCATCGGGGGCGGCAACGAGGGGGGTGATGACCAGGGGGGGGGGAATGTCATGGCGTGGGCCGTGGAGTTTCCTTCCGATGCCATGGCGCCTCTTCTCATCTCATGACGTCCCTGGGCCCCCCCCCCCTGGGCCGCGCACGTGCCGCTGGCCATGATTCGCGCCTCCCCCACCCCTCCCGGGCTCCCCCCCCCTTGGCCGCCCCCGCGACTCCGTCCCCGGACCCCCTCGCGCCGTGAGAGAGTCACGCCGGAAGGTGCTTCACCCTCTTCGGCCTCTCGGGGCCCTCGCCGGGGGGCCCCGGGACCGTCCGGAGAACCGCTCGGGACGAGAAGCTGGCCTCATGGGGACGCGTCGCGGCCTCCAGGGGGTTCTGGGGGGTCCGCGCAGTTAAAAAAAAACATCACGTCGGGGGTCTGGCTCTCCGTCCTCCCCCCCCCCACCTCCACCGCACCTGCAGGGCGAGCCCTTTTCCAAATCCGCGCTTCGGGGCGGATCGTCTGCGCGCCTCGCCTCCGTCGTCGTCGTCGTCGGCGTCGTGGTGGTCGTGGTGCGCGTTGCTCTGCTCGGGGCTTGCTTCCCTTCTGCAGGGACCCCCCCCCCCAACCACCCCCCGCCTCCCCGCCTGAGGGGGAACGTCAGGGGGGGATAAGCTCAAGGGGCAGCGCATCGACCCCGCGATCTCCTGCTCGTCGCCGATCTAGGGGGCCTGGTAGCCCACGCCGCCGAGGAGCCCGCGGATTCGCTGTCGGGGGCCTCTCGCCGAGTCCAGGTCGATGTTTTCCCCCCTGAGCTGGTCCCTCCCTAGCTTTCGTTCCCGCTCACCTCTACCCTCGTCCTCCTCCTTCTCTTTCTCCTCCTCCTCCTCCTCCTCCTCCTCCTCCTCCTCCTCCTCCTCCCCCTCCTCCTCCCCCCTCCTCGTGCTCCTCCTCCTCCTCCCCTCCTCCTCCTCCCTCCTCCTCCTCCTCCTCCTCCTCCTCCTCCTCCTCACTCCTCCTCCTCCTCCTCCTCCTCCCCCTCCTCTCCTCCTTCTCTTTCTCCCCTCTCTTTCCTGCTCCTGATCATCCCTCCCCTCATCCTCCCCCTTCACCATCGTCCACCTCCTCCACCCTCGTCCTCCCCCTCATGTCCCTCCTCCGCCCTCCGTCCTCGCTCCTGTGCCCGGATCTCCGACGACCCAGATTTCCCTGGCGTTTCCGTCGAGGTCGGCGTCTCCGGGGTCCGTTGCCGGGCCCCGGGACAAAGAAAGCACATACAGTCGGGGCGCTGAGGAAGGAACCCTGTTCGTTGGGGAGGGGCTTGGTGTTCCTTAGCTGTGTTGCAGTTCGCCCTTGGTCTTGCTTAGGGTTTCGATGGGAGATCGAAGTTGGACTTATGGAAGAAGGGGGCCTCGTTCCTCGTTTAGGGTTCCTTAGGTCAACGCCCCTACTGCATCCGGGACGAGCACTTTGCCCGCAGGGAAAAGGTCGGGAGCTCTGGGTCCGATGATCGAGAAAACACATCGTCGGATGTCTGGAGACCGGGGATCAGCCGCAAGTCGGGCATGTCCCTCCACAGGACGAATATTCAAGAATAGTCAACATAGTCTGGTGACGCTTTCTCGTGCTACTGTCTTTTTACGACGAGTATGTTTTGACCATGTTTTATTTGTCTTTCGACATCCGCCTGTAGAAGGACATGCCCATTCTAAGACTAGCCCTGGGTGGGGTTAGGCAGCGAGCCTGGCTGGAGGTTCACACTTCCCTCCTCCAGTGGCTGGACCGGGGCGGTTTTCTTTTGACCCGCCCTCAGGCCCTGCCGTCTCTTCTTCGATGCGCAAGTCGAGGAGGAGGATGGGCCTCCTCCTCCCTTCTCCCCTCCTGCCGTCTCCTCTTCGACTTGCAAGTCGAGGAGGAGGATGGGCCTCCTGCTCCCCTCTCCCCTCGTCCTGAAGAACAAGAGGCGGGGCCAGGCATCGTGTTCGTCTGCGCGCGCGAACTTTTGGGGCTGGCGCTGAAGCCTCCTGGCGGCGCGCTTCGCGCGCCAGGGTCTGGAGCCCCCAGGCTGTGCGATGACCGCGCCGTGTGGTGAGTCGGTGGGGATTCGGGGTGGCCGCACGGCTGCTGGGACTCGGGTCGATCTCCGAGGACGCCTCGGACGACTGGGGCCTCCAGGGTCCCAGCAGCATGCGGTGTCGGACCGTGCGGTGTTCTCTCTTGGGATGTCGAGGCCACCGCACAGTCTGTCATCGCACCGGTTTTGAGAACCCCAGCGGGGGGGGGTCCAGCGCCGATCCAAGAAATCCGCGCGGACCCGTGATCTCCTCCTCGTCCTCGTCCTCTTCTGCTCCTCGTCCTCGTCCTCATCTCCCTCCTCCTCCTCCTCCTCCTCCTCCTCCTCCTCCTCCTCCATTCCTCCTCCATTCCTCCTCCATGCCGTCTGCTCCTCCTCCTCGCCCTCCCCCCTCCCCAGAGGAGGCGTGGCGCAGGCCACGCGGGGGGTGGGGCGGGATCTGGCGGGCGCGCGCGGCCGCCCCTCCACTGGAGGAGGCTCCTCTGCCTCGGGGTGCTGCCGCTCCTGCTGCGCCGGGCCTCGGCGCAGTGCAGCTCCATCGTGGAGCCGGTGACCGCCCTGGAGGGCGCGATCTCCGCCCCCGACGTGCTGCGGGAGCCGCCGCCGCGGGCGCGCGCGCGCGCTCCTCGGCGGGGCCTGGTGCCCTCGGCCACGCGCAGGGCGCGGCCCTTCGCCGCGGCGTGGCCTGCCGGGCGTCGCGGGCTGCGCGGCACGCCGGGTGCGGCGCGCCCGGTGTCGGGCCCCGGGGGCCCTCGCGTGCGTCGAGCCGGCTGGACGGGTGCTGCAGGAAGAACTGGGCCCGGGGCGCGGGACGCGTCTTCTCGCGTGCTGCTGCATTTTTTCCGTAACGGCGGGGTCGGGCAATTCTCCACCTCCTCTCGCTGGGAAAAGTCACGACGGGAGGTTTCGAGCAAAATGATGTGCCTTCGCTGGGGCCCAGGACGACCGTCAGCAAAACGGCTCGGGACGAAACACCGGTCCCTGGGAAGGGGTCTAGACTGCTCCAGAGCGTTTTGAGACGGCCGCGGCGCCTGGTACCTGGTACATCCTCCTGATCTCAGAGAGATCCCCGACTTCTCCTCATCCGGGTTCATCGTCATCCCACCTGCATCTTACTGGGGGCCAGGCGGAGCAGATAGGGAGGGCAGCCTCCTCGAGGTTCGGGGCCTTCGAGCGTTTTTTCGTCGGCATCCCGCGAATCGGCGGCGAGCGAGGGGGGAAGTGAGAGGGGGCGGGCCTTCTCAGAAGGCTCGGAAGCCCCCCCGCCTCCCGAGACGTTGTCTGAGCCCCCCCCCGAAGACGCAGCACACTCCTCAGAAGGCGCGAGGCCTCCTGAGAAGCCCCGCCGCCTTCCGAGCAGGCCTTCTCCTTCTCACTTCCCCGTGGGCGCGCCGCCGAATGTGGTTTTTGGGTCAAAACTCGGGTCTCCGGCGGCCGTTCGGGACGATCCTGGCACCCCCGGAACGCCCGCGGCGAGGCGCAGCTGCTGGCAAGCATCCCGAGGCTGGAAAACCGCCGAGAATCGACGAAAACCGCCGAGAATCGCCGCCGAGCTTGGCCGGACTCGCCGCCGAGCGAAGTCTCTCTGCCGGCCCGCTGGGGGTGCGCTCCCGGCACCCGCGCCCTCTCTGGGGAAGGGGGAGCGCCCGGGGCCGCCCGCGCCGTCCGGAGCGACAGCCCGAGGCCCGAGCCGAGGCCCGAAAGCCGGGCACCCGCGCCTCGCCAGGAGTGCTGTCGCGTGATTTGCGTGATTTGGAGTGCCTTTGGAGTGCCTTTGGAGTGCTGTCGCATGATTGGCTCGGGCCCAATAGGTTCCTTTTCAGGCCGAGGGCGCCCCCAAGACGGTCCAAGTGGGCTCCAAAGACGCCCAAGACGGCCCCACGATTGCCCAAGAAGCCTTCGAGGCGCCCGAGAGGTTTCCCCCAGAGGACCCCAAGAGCTATCCCATGTGCTCGGTGTTATCCGCTCGTCGAGCTTCCGACGCTCCCAGACAGCCCAAAAGGCCCCGAACACCGACCCAGGACGGCCCAAGAGGCCCCCCACAAGGGGCCCCAAGGCAGCCCAAGAGGGCTCAGGGGACACGCGCCACGCCCCAGGATTGAAGACTGAGGCTTGAGGGGGCAGGCCAAGGGCCTGAGGACACTGGGGCGTCGGCAGAGGCAATGCCACCAGCACGCCTGCCTCTTTGCAGCCGTTTTTTACCTGAGGACAGTCAAACTCGTGCTTCAGGGCACGGTGGCGGATGTTGCATGTGATATATTGTGCCACCGAGGTTGCACCACGTGGGCGACGCAGGACAACGGGCTCGATTGCGCCGATTTTCGCGCGTAAGCTGCCTGCGTAAGATGATGCGTCAGCTCCCTCGTTTACAATGTGGCTTGCCGCGTTGGCGGCTCGCGCAAGCCACCGTGCAAGACCGCCATGCCATCTCGCGTACGATCAGCTTTTTTTCCGTCACATCGGTTACACCACACAGCTCACACCATAGACATTGCACCGCACGTATTGCACGACATAGCCTGCACCACATAGTTCACATACATCGAGTATTGTACACACCATATATATATATATATACGCGTACTTAAACATACATATATTGTACCTCATAGCTTACGCCACGTATGCCACACCGTGTGTGTGTAAACATATATATATATATATGTTTAGACATGGTCTCCTCTGCCTTCACCTCGTGAACTGTGGCTGCCTTGTGTTGCTTATACTAATGCCGTGAAATATTTGTCCACGGCTTGATCTTCAGGCAGGCCGCATCGCGCGTCGTGGCGCCCATGTCGCACATCGCAACTGGGAGAACGATGTCTTCGCGTGGGCATCATGCGGCATGCGTGTGTGGGTTTGCGCCTTCCCCAGCCTGCGTCTTCCTCGTGTGGGCGTGAGCCTGCCCCCGTCTTTTTGCTTGCTTTGTCTCTGTGGGGGGGGCTAGCCTTCCGTGGTCTGCCTCATGCTAGTGGTGCCTTTTAATATAAGTGTGCGGGGGTGTGCTTTCTCAGCGCGCCTCTTGATCTAGCTGTTTGGATGTGGGCCTTTCCTCCTCCTCCTCCTCCTTCTCCCTCCTCCCTCCTCCCTCCTCCCTCCTCCTCCTCCTCCTCCTCCTCCTCCTCCTCCTCCTCCTCCTCCTCCTCCTCCTCCTCCCCCTTGTTCTCCTCCTCCTCCTCATCATACTCCATTTCCTTTCCTTATGAACGACTTCTCCCCTTTCCTTATCAACGCTTTGACCGCCGCTTGTTATGACCGCGCGAGGACGAGCCTTGCGCAATCTTCGCGCAAGCTCTGTCTGGACAGTCCTTGTCCGCAGTGCCTGCTGAAAGCGGCGGCTCGCGCATGGGTGCCATGGCCGACGGGGACTCTCGGGCGCTCCTGGAACAGGGCCAGCCACCCGCAAAGCTGTGCAAGTCGACGGTATCTTCCGCCCCTCCGCCCCAGACACCTCGAACTTTCGACCCTGTCCACATGGGTCGTACGCGAGGGGGTGATATCGCAGTTGGACGGAGAAGCCTCTTGGGACATCGGTTTCGGTTTCGTGTTCGTGTCGGGCGTGCGGGCGAGGCGAAGCTGCGCGGGCGCGCGAGAGGACTGATGCCGCCGTGGCTAGGGGGCTGTGGAGCTGGTTGTCCGCCCCTCCCCCCCCCATGTGCGCGGTGGCTGGGGGTGTCCCGTCGGTGGCGCGTCGGTGGGTGTCCCGTCGGTGTCCAGTCGGTTGCGCGGGGTGTCCCGTCTGTGTCGCGGGGTGTCCCGTCGGTGGCGCGGCGGTGAGATCGATAGTGAGATTGAATGGGAGGTCTGTTGTGATATCGATCGTAAGAACTGTTGCGAGGTCGTTCGTGGGATATGCTGTGAGATCGATCGTGGGATCCGCTGCGAGATCGATGGTGAGATCGTTAGTGAGATCTATAGTGGGATCGACCGTAAGATCGATACTGAGATCGATAATGAGACCGAGCGTGACATCGAGTGTGAGACCGATCGCGAGATCGACGGTAAGATCGATTTTGAGATCGATAGGGGGACCGACAGTGATAACGGATGTGAGATCGATCTTGAGCCCGAATTTGAGATCGATATAGTGAGTTCGGTTGTCAGATCAGTGGTGAGATCGATTGGTAGATTTTTCGTGAGATCCGTTGTGAGATCGATGTTGAGATCGCTGGTGAGACCGATCGTGAGATCGATTGTAATATCGATTGTGGGATCATTAGGGGGACCCATAATGATTAATGTTGTCGTTCGATCGTTGTAGTTTGATCGATAGTGAGTCCGATTGTCAGATCGATGGAGAGAACGATTGGGAGATCGGTAGCGAGATCGGTTGTGAGATGGATGTTGAGTTCGCTTTTGAGATCGATAGCGAGACCTGTTGTGAGATCGATCGTGGGATCTGTTGTGAGACCGATCGTGAGATCTGTTGTGAAATCGATCGTGAGATCGACAGCGCGGTCTGTTGTGAGATCGAGAGTTTGAGCGATGGCAAGATCGACTGAATGGGACGTGGGTCCCCCCTTTCCCCCCCGAGCCTCCGCACATCGCCCGAAGGCTGGTCGTGGAGGCAGTTCTTCGTCCCGGGTTATGGTGTGGCTGGCTCCGGGGGGATGTTGGTCCCCCCCTCCCCCCCGAGCCTCCGCACATCGCCCGAAGGCTGGTCGTGGAGGCGGTTCTTCGCCCCGGGTTCCTGGTGTGGCCGGTGGCCGGGGGGCCGAGGCGGGCACCCGCAGAGGCCCCGAGTGGCACCCGGAGGAGGTCCGCGCTCCGCAGCCGTGCGGGCTCGAGATCCGCTTGGTGGTTCCCAAACGTGGTCTTCGAGCGCTGGCTGGCCCAGGAAGCGCAAAACCACGTGGCGACCGCGTGTTCCCAAACCCGGTGGCGACCCAGAAGTATGTTTTGTTGGGGAATCGGGCCCCTGGTTTGGAGACCGCCAGTCCGCACCCGCGCGCCCCTCTGCGGCCTCGCCTTTCGCGCGGCGCCCAGCTGCGGGCGGGCGCCTGCCGCTGCAGAGGCACCTCGCGGCCAGGATGACCAGACCCGGTCTCCGTGGCGCCGCCCCCTTGGCATCGCTCGGACGTGTGCATTTTTCCCTCGGCGAGGGCCATCGGGGAGCATCCCCGATCCTCTGGAGAAACAGCCACGCGCGAAACCGAAAGACAAACACTGGGAATGGACGTCCGAGCGGTGGCCAGCCCCCCAGCGCCCCCCGCGGGCGCGCGGGGCCCTGCCCCCGAGCCCAGCCCCGCTCTGCAGGTGCTCCGTGGCGGGCGCGCGCCGGAAGAGAGCGCGGCGTGCAGCTCTGCCCACGGCCGGGGGGGCCCTCTGGCCGAGCCTGGGCTCCTCGCATCGACCAGACGTAAGAGTGACCTTTCTCGCCGGAGTGACCTTTGGTGCGGGCGCGGGTCCCCAGATGGCTGAAAACGAAGCAGGAGCAGCGGCTTGCGCGCCCAGGTTTGGTCCCCCCGCGGCCCCCAAAGAGCCGCGCACCAGAGGCCACTCTTACCCAGGGTCGCTCTTGCGTGTAGCCGATCGAACGCCGAGTTCTGCCCCTCCGTCCTGGCAGGCGTCCGCTGCGAGGCCAGGCGCGCGTATGCGCGCACATTTGGGCATTGCTCTGCCCGCGCGCCGGCAGCGACGGAGCCGCCAGCGGCGAGGAGCCGCCAGCGGCCCCTGGCGAGCGTGGTGGCTGCGCGCAAGCTCCTGGCGCTCTTGGGGCCGGCCGACCATGTGTGAAGGCAGCTCGGTGGGTGACGACCGTTGAGGTTCCCGGACCACTGCGACCTGGACCAGTGCCACCTAGGCCCTGCCAGTGCCACCCCGACCTGCCGCCGCCAGCGAGGGTCGCGATGGACGCTCTGGCCGAGCTCGTGGCAATCTTGCACTCTCAGGTCGATCAGTTGCAGACCTCCAGCAAGGCTAACTCTTGCGAGAGCTCGACCCAGGCATCGCCGGCACTGCTGCACACCTCCAGCGAGGCTAGCGAGAACGAGAGCTTTACATCCTCTTGGCCGTGAGTCGGTCGAAGAATGCGCGGCGCAAGCGGGCGGATTATCACATCCTGGCACGTCCCGGACCAATCTACTGGATTACTGCCCCCCCCCGCCTGGACGTATCTATAGGTCATGGGTCTACTCCCGGCTGTGTAGTGCGCGCCGAAATCATACGATCTTCCTCTACAGGCTGACTCCCCCGCGCCGCCATGCGGCAACTCGCCGTGCCCTCTGGCAGTGCCTTGTCTCGCGCCGCCGTCTTTTGGCACGGCGCTCCGGTCCGTGTGGGTCCGATCCGACTGGTGGACCGAGCACGACATTCGCCTTTGGTATTCTCTCCGCAATATTACGCGCGGTGCTGATGGCAAGATCGTCCGTACCAGCAGGGGTTATGGTGCTAAGGCGGCCCCCTCGCTTGAAAGGAGGGACGCAAAGAGGGTCCGTGCAGAGCCGCGAGAGGGGCTGCCCGCCTCCCCGAGGAGGGGCAGCCCCCCCCCGAGTGTACACTGGATAGCTTCACATCAGGCTGGCGAGTCGCTGCCATCTGTAAGGAGGGCGCCAGTGCGGCTGGCTCCGCCTTGCTGTGCAGAATCCTCCTCTCCAGCACGCTCTGCAGCAAGTTTTGAAACCCTGGTTGGTCAGACCATGCCGCCACGTCGGGTGCTCAGCCTCCTGATGCGAGGCTTGGCGAGATTTGCCAGCCTTGCTCATGCGGTTGTCGAGCAAGCTGTTCTTATTTACATGCGCACGTATGACATGGTCTTCTTGATGCAGTCGAGCCGGCCATCATGAGTCCTGTTTATTCCACCCGAGACAGCCATACATTTTACTTCGGCACAAAAGTATGGCCTCTGTCTTACCTCCACTACTGCTCCTCACGCTCCTCACTACGCCCGCTGTTCCTGAACTAGCACCACGTACATTGCGCCACAAATATTTCACCTTGCAGCCCACACCACATATAGCCATATCACACCTCATAGATTACGCTACATTGCTTACACATCCACAGTCCAACATATCACTGTTTGGGGTCCACGCTGGCGCACGTTGTTTTGATTACGAGAGCTTTGGGGACCTCTGGAGGGGGTCGGGAGTGGCGACGATCAGGATCGAGGACCAACGCTTGTTGGGCGTTTGGGGTCCTTGGGGGACAGGGGGGACATTGAGAGAGGGAGGATGGGCGACGAAGTCGGTGTGATGGAGGAGGAAGGAGGAAGTAGGGAGGGGGGGCCCAGGGAAGGTGGAGGAGGAGGAAGAGGAGGAGAGGATCAGGGGGGAGGAGGAGTAAGGGGAGAAGGTCGAGGAAGTCGAAGGGATGAAGAGGGGAGGATGGAAAAGGGAGGATGGAGGAATCATTGTTTTGACCTCGCGGCCACTGTGTATTTTCGGTTTCGAAATCGTTATTCCCCGATAGGCTACGTGAGGGCTAGAAGCCTGGAGACGTGCCGATGCCTTGACGGCTCGATG